TTATTAGAATAGGTTAGGTTAGGTTAGAACGTGCGTCCCCACTGTTTGCTTTCTTGGTACAAGTCGAGATACGTAGACTGTCATGGCGGCTGATCGCCGATTCCAGCAAAGACAAGAAAGCAAACAGTGGGGACGCACGTTCTAACCTAACCTAACCTATTCTAATAAATTATCATAATTATTACCATTTATATTATTAAAATAGGTTAGGTTAGGTTAGGTTAGAACGTGCGTCCCCACTGTTTGCTTTTGTTTGCTGGAATCAGCGCCGGCGCCATGACAGCCGCCGGCGTTCGCTCGCGTCGTCACGTAACACGTCGTCTCCAAAACGGTCCGGTTTCGAGGCTAAAACAGGAAGAGCCGCCATGATGGTCTACGACCCTGGACATTAACCGTTGATGGTAGAAGATGCCGTGGAAGAACAAACCTACCTTAAGCTATTATGAAGACAAATATATGCATATTCTACATCACTTGCTAAAAAATTGAATAATTAAATAATTTATGAATTAAAATCGTCTGTTTCTTTACAATATTATTCACAACTTCTTAATAAAATAAATCATAATTTTTACTCCAAACACAAAAAATGAAAACGTTTAAGCCGATCGTCTACTCCCGTTGCTAGACGTAACAAACGCCATTTTCAACCGCATAGAATTGCCGGATGGCGGCGCTCAACCGTCCGCCGTACACGTTTTGGGCTGGATTCGACGGCCGCAACATCTCTATTATTTTGTAAGAATTTTGTTTCAAACAACTTTGCACTGGGCCCCGCTTTTGTTCGGGCCGGCCCTGCGGGACATCATTCTGCTACGGAGACCTAAGATCAAATCCGGACGGCTTGAAAAAACCAGAAATTTTTCGGGTAGTGGTTAGCTTCCATTTTTGTTTTACTCATTTCGCCCTGTGGGTACTAAGAAGGCATTTTATCAAGTTCGCCATGGGTTCGGCCAGACCCACAATGCTGCAGTTGGATTAAGGTCGGGAACCGAATATCCGGGATAGACCATCCTGGAAAATTCCTGGGGATTTTCGACCTCCCGGATTCAATTCTGGATCCCCAAAGCGACAGGCTGATGCCACCCCGGGGAAAGGGAAAAGAGGAAGGTTTGTTTATTAGGTTATGACAACGCAACACTTGAACGATCTGCCTAGGGGGATGCCTTTCGGGAGGTCTTTTTAAGGGAAACTGGCCACTATTTAGGCGTTACAGACGTGGAGAAAACCCGGAAAACTTCACGTGGCCAGACCGTCCGGGCGAGGTGCGAATTCACAATCGGACTCGTGTTCAGTGTACGAAGGCCGCTTGGCCACTGATGGGCACTTTTTTAAAACTCTCCGCCCTGTGGGCTCTAATAGGGCCTCTTATAGCAGGCCCATTATGGATTCGGCCAGGCCCACAATGGGGCGACCGGGTGGTGACCCCGAAAAATTCCTTGACCCGTCCGGATTCGATCTCGAGTCCCCCAGAGCGGTAGGCTGCCAACGTGACCGCTCGACCATCCGGCCGACCCACTAAGGAGGGAGTAAAAAAATAACGGAAATTATGCTTACGTAATATTTGAGTGAAATTAATATTATTAGTTTATATAACATAATGAAAATTATATATATACAAAACTTCGCAACCTTGGCTTAATTAACAATTCGAAACAAAAATACTGTAAACATATTTTCGATTTTAATTTTGTCACTTATCGACAGAAGAGGGCGTTATGTGACGTTTAGACGTGAATTAACGCATGTGTGTATATATTCTGGCAATACCTTATGATATTTCGTTAATTGACATTTGTAGAAGTAACAATCGAATTATTTTTTGTATATAATAGAAACACAAAATATAACTTTCCCTAATCATCAGGTACTGTAGGTAAGTAAATCGAAACTGAAATCGAATTTAAATTTCTAAACTTAGTTTTGGTTTTCGAGTTTGTTTATATTAACGAATTAACATATTAATGTTCGACGATAAGTAATCGAATTATATTCGAAATCACTAAAGAATGTTTTTGAATTTTCTTTCAGTTAAAGTAATCACCGTAGATTACTTTAACACGAGGATTTATACATTTTTAAGGCTAAGGCACAATTCTAGGACAAATGTAGCAAATTAAAACTGGAATCGATCTGTAGAGCATATCAATAGGAACAAAAAAGTCAAAGGAACCATGGCCGTACGGGCGACCCTTCGCGAGATATAGGCCCCCCAAAAATGACTATGTGGAAAATATGAAACCCTCAAAAATGGGGTAAAATTCAAAAGTGAAAATTTTCGGAACTATATCTCGAAACTATGGCATTTTTTGCCGTTTTTTAGAACCTACTAGTAGACACTCTCAAAACCTCCCTAAACACGAGGATCGCCACCTTTCAACCGCCACTTCCGGGGAACGCCATGGGGAGTCGCGTCTCGCTCGCTCTCTGCTAAGCCTATTGCGTGTCTAACAGGCAGCAAGCCGTATTCTAACCACACTTCCATCGACAAAGACCAAAGAAAAGCCCGATTATTACCGCTAATTCGGCAACGCTTTCTCTGCTGCCGCTCCATACCGAGTGCGCTTCTATTTCCCTATCTCTATCACATTCTAACTGACGACCGAAAAGGCCAACAAAACAGATTCTACACTCACCTTCGGCAGAGTCTCCTCCTCTCGCTACCCGACAACGCCTAGCCCATTTTCGATCTTGTTTAGGCGAGGACGGGGTAAGGCCGCCGGTCACCGTTGCCGCTTCCTCCTCCTCGGCTATGTCCAGGAGGTCGATGACGACAAAGATGGGATCGCCCGATGTTGTTCGAACAATCGCATATAATCCAGGGTTCGCGTACAAGTATCCTTCGGTAACATGCACCATGTGTACAGTATATATATATATATATATATATACATATATATACACACACACACGCAGAGCTTCGCTGTTCGCTGGGCGTTCGTCTTTCCCCTGTCGTTTCTCTTCGTCGCCCTCGTGCACGGGTACATCACCAAAAGATACGTATATAGATGATCTAGACGTGTCGTGAAGACAGAAACGTCGGTCGATCGTCACATGTAAACCTTCACCGCCAAATATTCAGTTGCCACTAATAACAGAAGTTTGCATGAAAAATCCAACTGTGATTTTCCACGACCCTTTCCAAATGGTGCAAGCATTCGATTCGAAGACCGTGTTCAACTTACGGGTTGAAAATGGTAACATTCGTCTTTATAACGTGACGCTTTTTTGTACTTTTCTTCTATGGTTTAACCATTTTTTCGATATGTTTAGTGGAAGCATCAGCAGCTGTTCCAAATCCATATTCGTTGAGGTCAGGAATGCATTTTATACGGATCACATCGTTCGAGAATGCTTACATAATTGTCCAATGGTGATTTTCGATGGACAGGAAATTAAAAGCGAATGAATGCCTTGTTTGGTTTCTACGAAACGTTTCTCTATTTCGCTCTTTCTTTTCTCCCTTTTTCCACGAACACAAGCGAACGCACAAGAAGTAATGGTACGTATTGGCAATTTTTGACATCCGAACTGACTTCATATACTGTACTTCTTTCCAATAGTAGAGTGTTTCCACAACGTACAAGGTGTAGTGTGGAGAAAGTAAACGAATTGGACAATTGTCACGAAACAATGACGAATGAAAAGATGAAAAGGGCGCTGTTCCTGCAAGCTGTGTGTCATCTGAATCGGGAATTTCAGCATCGACATTTCTCAGCGACAGCTTTCAATTCACTGGAAAGCGATTCAGGTAATTCGAGTATGATTTTTACGATGTCATGAAACGAGTTTCCAAGCATCATGTAAAACATTCCGCTGCATCATTGAATGATGCTGTTACCTCACAGATGCCAAACTCGCTCCAAACTCTTGTGATATTATTCAGAAAAGTTTAGGGAAAGATTCGAGCAACACAAAATGTTCATATTCTGTTGCAAGACACGACACAAACATCTGCCAAACATTCTGTTGCCACTAATAACAGAAGTTCGCTTGTGTTCGTGGAAAAAGCGAAAAAGAAAGAGTGAAATAAAGAAATGTTTTTAGAAGAAACAAAACAAATCATTCGTTCGATTTTAATTTCCTGTCCATCGAAAATCACCATTGGACAAGTATGTAAGCATTCGCGAACTATGTGATCCGTATAAAATGCATTCCTGACCTCAACGAATATGGATTTGGAACAGCTGCTGATGCTTCCACTAAACATACCGAAAAAATGGTTAAACCATAGAAGAAAAGTACAAAAAAGCGTCACGTTATAAAGACGAATGTTACCATTTTCAACCCGGAAGTTGAACACGGTCTTCGAATCGAATGCTTGCACCATTTGGAAAGGGTCGTGGAAAATCACAGTTTGATTTTTCATGCGAACTTCTGTTATTAGTGGCAACAGAATGTTTGGCAGATGTTTGTGTCGTGTCTTGCAACAGAATACGAACATTTTGTATTGCTCGAATCTTTCCCTAAACTGATGCTTGGAAACTCATTCCATGACATCGTAAAAATCATACTCGAATTACCTGAATTGCTTTCCAGTGAATTGAAAGCTGTCGCTGAGAAATGCCGATGCTGAAATTCCCGATTCAGATGACACACAGCTTGCAGGAGCAGCGCCCTTTTAATCTCTTCGTTCGTCATTGTTTCGTGACAATTGTCCAGTTCGTTTACTTTCTCCACACTACACCTTGTACGTTGTGGAAACACTCTACTATTGGGAAGAAGTAAAGAATATGAAGTCGGTTCGGATGTCGAAAATTGCCAATACGTACCATTACTTCTTGCGCGTTCGCTTCCATTGCCTGGATTATATCGCAATTATTGAATATTTACTGGAATATCACAACTGTTGAATATTTACTGACTTGTACTCTTAACAATTGCGGTAACAAACACCGGGCGAAAATGGCCGAAGGCGACCTGAAGGCTTATGAAACCTCGGGGGGGCGAGGGTAGGTCATGTGACCCACGGCCGGCCGGCCATTGGCCCCGCGATGGGCCCGCTGCACTTGCCCGGCTCAGGGGTGGCCGCATGGCGCTGCGCGCTGAATTTTTTTGTTCGAGGGGTGGCCGCCTGGAGGCCCCGTCATGCGCAGTGGCTCCTCGGCCTAGCATGGCTCAAGTATGAGTTCCGAAGTGTTTCTGGCAGAGCGACCTAGCGGGCCGGTACGGAGAGAAGTGGATTGGCGCCAGCCAGGATCGGGGTTCGAGCCCCGGTTGAGGTAAGAGGTGTAATAATAATAGATATTTGTATTTACAGGCAACAGATGGTGACTCAGGAAGGTTGCAGGCAGGAGACTCGGGCCGCCGGCCGCGTGCGCGGGGGAGACGGCGGCGACAGAGTAGACGGGAGGGGGAGACGCGTGCTGGAGGCTAAGGAAGGGGGAGAGCACGCTTTATTTTGCAACATTGAGATGGGGAAAACCAAAAAAAAAAAATTTTGGCCACGTGACGCCGTCCCTTTTGAGCGCGGAGTCATGTGACCGGATATGACGTAGGTGCATCTTTGGAGGGCTATATCTTGCGAAGGGTTGCCCGTACGGGCATGGTCCTTTTGACTTTTATGCTTGCACAGGGGGCCTCTACAATTTGGGGGGGATGAAATTTTGCTACATTTGTCCTAGAATCTTGCCGTTATAATATTTACGATTTCTTGTCTTTCACAGTGCATTCCATGCCATTTCAGATTTTTCGGCCACCTAGCAGTGATGGTCATCTCCCATAGGGATAGGTTAGGTTTGTTGGACAAGCCGCGATAGTGGCACTTAGTACTAGCCAATTGCAAGCAATAGTGAGTGTATTGGTGGCTGTGGGCCGTAGGCCCCGAGGTTGAGGAGCATGTGAAAAGGACTTAACTCCAACTGCAGACGATCAGTGTGCTCATGGATCAACATCTCCCTCTGTTGAAGGTATATATGGCCGACTTGCCAGACTACCTATTAAACACACAATAGGAGACCGGAGAGAGCAACGTGACTCCTGATCATTGTGCGATCGCCAGAAAAAAGTGTGATAACTTTCTTATTTCTGGTTTTCAGTCCAAAAGTAGGGTATTGTTGAACTCGTCTCAGTCCCCTCAGTTCAGATATATACTCAAAGTCCCAAAATTCCATAGATGGTAATCTATAGTATCTCCAAATATATTAACCTAAAAAATTCATTCAAATCCTGGCATGTCCTTAAGTACCCCCTGATGGTCATGCTAGTGCTGCCAGCTAAAACATGCACACCAACAAAAATAATATTTGAGTAGCCCAAGACATAATCTAATATTGCAGCATTACAGCACTAGTGGAAATTTAAATTTGCTGACTGGAACGCTTTCAGTTAACTGATGCTTCGGTTGATCGATATTCGGATAATCGATGCTCTACTATACTTAAACAGTAAAACTTGTATGATTGATAATATAACAAGGTGTTATGATCAAGGTAAAAATATCTGTATGTTGTCTCTGCAATATCGAGTTTGGTATTTTTAATGAATTGAAAATTTTCCAACAAATTATATTTCAAAAATCCTGCTTTTTCATGTTGTGGCAATCTATTGCCCTTTTGTGTAATCTGATGCACTTTTTCTGTGTTTTCTTTGTTTGTATGTCAGTTGAATGGATTGGCTGGTCACTAATTATATTTTACGCTTAGATTGAGAGGTGCAATAAAAATGGCAATACCCAAAGGAAATTCAGAAAAAGTATGTCAGATTACAAATAAAATGATAATTGCCATAACATGAAAAAGCAGGATTTTTGAAATATAATTCAAAATTGTCAAAATTCTTGCCATTCTTATTGTACTTCTCAACCTAGATTAATAATACACAAATGGGAAGGTTCCTATTCTCTCAATGAAAACTTTAGTGAAATCATGTCATTAA